GAGATGTATCTTGAAAGAAGTTGCTGTGGCCAATGTCAAAGAGGTTACTGCCTATGTTCTCCTCTAGGATTTTGATGGATTCCTGTCTCACATTGAGGTCTTTCATCCATTTTGAGTTTATCTTTGTGAATGGTGTTAGAGAATGGTCGAGTTTCATTCTTCTGCATGTGGCTGTCCAATTTTCCCAGCACCATTTATTGAAGAGACTGTCTTTTTTCCATTGCATGTTTTTTCCTGCTTTGTCAAAGATTATTTGACCATAGAGTTGAGGGTCCATATCTGGGTTCCCTATTCTGTTCTATTGGTCTATATGTCTGTTTTTGTGCCAGTACCATGCTGTCTTGGCGATCACAGCTTTGTAATATAGCTTGAAATCGGGCAACGTGATGCCCCCAGCTTTGTTTTTCTTTTTCAACATTTCCTTGGCGATTCGGGGTCTTTTCTGATTCCATACAAATTTTAGGATTGTTTGTTAAAGCACTTTGAAAAATGTCATTGGAATTTTGATCGGGATGGCATTGAAGGTATAGATTGCTCTGGGTAGCATAGACATTTTAACAATGTTTATTCTTCTGATCCATGAGCATGGAATATTTTTCCATCTTTTTGTGCCTTCAATTTCTTTCATGAGTGTTTTGTAGTTCCTAGAGTATAGATCCTTTACCTCTTTGGTTAGGTTTATTCTGAGGTATCTTATGGTTTTTGGTGCTATTGTAAATGGAATCATTTCTCTAATTTCTCTTTCTACAGTTGCGTTGTTAGTGTATAAGAAAGCAACTGATTTCTGTGCATTGATTTTGTATCCTGCCACATTACTGAATTGCTGTCTGAGTTCTAGTAACTTGGGGGTGGAGTCTTTTGGGTTTTCCACATAAAGTATCATGTCATCTGCGAAAAGAGAGAGTTTGACTTCTTTGCCAATTTGAATACATTTTATTTCTTTTTGTTGTCTGGTTGCTGTTGCTAGGACTTCTAGTACTATGTTGAACAATAGTGGCGAGAGTGGACATCCTTGACGTGTTCCTGATCTTAAGGGAAAGGCTCTCAGCTTTTCCCCATTGAGGATGATATTCACTGTGGGTTTTTCATAAATGGATTTTATGAACTTGAGGAATGTTCCCTCTATCCCTATACTCTGAAGAGTTTTAATCAGGAAGGGATGTTGTATTTTGTCAAATGCTTTTTCTGCATCAATTGAGAGGACCATATGGTTCTTCTCCCTCCTCTTATTAATGTGTTCTATCACACTGATTGATTTGCGAATGTTGAACCACCCTTGCATCCTGGGGATAAATCCCACTTGGTCGTGGTGTATGATCCTTTTAATGTATTGTTGGATCCTATTAGCTAGGATTTTGTTGAGGATTTTGGAATCCATATTCATCAGGGATATCGGTCTGAGATTCTCCTTTTTGATGGGGTCTTTGCCTGGTTTGGGGATTAAGGTAATGCTGGCCTCATAGAATGAGTTTGGAAGTTTTCCTTCTGTTTCTGTTTTTTGAAACAGCTTCAGTAGAATAGGTATTATTTCTTCTTTGAATGTTTGGTAGAATTCCCCAGGGAATCCATCAGGCCCTGGACTCCTGTTTTTTGGGAGGTTTTTGATCACGGCTTCAATCTCGTTACTGGTTACTGGTCTATTCAGGTTGTCAATTTCTTCCTGTTTCAGTCTTGGCCGCTTATAGGTTTCCAGGGAGGCCTCCATTTCATCCAGATTGCTCAGTTTATTGGCATATAGTTGTTGATAATAATTTCTAATAATTATTTCTATTTCCTTGGTGTTAGTCGTGATCTCTCCCCTTTCATTCATAATTTTATTAATTTGGGTCCTTTCTCTTTTCTTTTGGATAAGTCTGGCCAGTGGTTTATCGATCTTATTATTTCTTTCAAAGAACCAACTTCTAGTTTCATTGATCTGATCTACCGTGTTTCTGGTTTCTAATTCATTGATTTCTGCTCTAATTTTAATTATTTCTCTTCTAATGCATGGCTTAGGCATTGTTTGTTGCTTTTTCTCTAGTTCTTTAAGGTGTAGAGTTAGTTGGTGAATTCAGGATTTTTCTATTTTTTTGAGTGAGGCTTGGATGGCTATGTATTTCCCCCTTAGGACCACCTTTGCAGTATCCCATAGGTTTTGGACTGATGTGTTTTTGTTCTCATTGATTTCCATGAATTGTTTAAGTTCTTCTTTGATTTCCTGGTTGACCCAAACATTCTTGAGCAGAGTGGTCTTTAGCTTCCAAGTGTTTGAATTTCTGCCAAGTTTTTTCTTGTGATTGAGTTCCAGTTTTAAAGCACTGTGGTCTGAGAATATGCAGGGAATAATCTCAATCTTTTGGTATTGGTTGAGACCTGATTTGTGACCCAGTGTGTGGTCTATTCTGGAGAATGTTCCATGTGCGTGTGAGAAGAATGAGTATTCTGCTGTTTTAGGGTGGAATGTTCTGTAAATATCTATGAGGTCTATATGGTCCAGTGTATCATTCAAAGTCCTTGTTTCCTTGTTGATTTTCTGCTTAGATGATCTGTCCATTGCTGAGAGTGGAATATTGAGGTCTCCTACAATTAATGTATTGTTATCAATATGACTATTTTGGTTAACAGTTGGCTTATGTAGATGGCTGCTCCCATGTTGGGGGCATAGATATTTACAATTGTTAGATCTTCTTGTTGGATAGACCCTTTAAGAATGATATAGTGTCCTTCTGTGTCTCTAATTACAGACTTTAGTTTAAAATCTAATTTGTCTGATATAAGAATTGTTACCCCAGCTTTCTTTTGAGGTCCGCTGGCATGGAAGATAGATCTCCATCCCTTCACTTTCAGTCTGGATGTATCTTTAGGTTCAAAATGAGTCTCTTGTAGGCAGCATATGGATGGGTCCTGTCTTTTTATCCAATCTGCAACCCTGTGCCGTTTTATGGGAGCATTTAGGCCATTCACGTTGAGAGTGATTATTGAAAGATATGAATTAATTGTCGTCATGTTGCCTGTGAAGACATTGTTTTTATAGATTGTCCCTGTAAATTTCTGTTGTATATGACTCTTGGGGTCTTTCTCCTTTTATAGAACCCCCCTTAATATTTCTTGCAGGACCAGCTTAGTGGTCACATATTCTTTCAGTTTCTGCCGGTTGTGGAAGCTCTGAATCTCTCCATCCATTCTAAATGACAGCCTTGCCAGATAAAGTATTCTTGGCTGCATGTTCTTCTCATTTAGTACCCTGAATATGTCTTGCCAGGCCTTTTTGGCTTGCCAGGTCTCTGTGGATAGGTCTGACGTTATTCTGATGTTCCTCCCTCTGTACGTAAGGAATCTCTTCCCCCTAACTGCCCTTAAGATGGTTTCCTTGGTTCTAAGATTTGCAAGTTTTACTATTACATGCCGGGGCATTGGCCTGTTTTCCTTGATCTCGGGAGGGGTCCTTTCTGCCTCTAGGATGCGAATGTTTGTTTCATTCCCCAGATTAGGGAAGTTCTCAGCTACGATTTGCTCAAATACATCTTCTAGTCCTCTCTCTCTCTCTCCACGCCCTCCGGGATTCCAATTATTCTGACATTGGAACGCTTCATGGTGTCACTTATTTCTCTGATTCTATTTTCATGGATTCTGAGTTGTTTTACCCTGGCCTCCTCTTTTCCCTTTTTATCTATTATATTGTCTTCCAGGTCACTAATTCGTTCTTCTGCCTCAGTTACCCTAGCTGTTAGATTATCTAGATTGGATTGGATCTCATTGATAGTATTTTTAAGTTCTGCCAATTCAGCTTTCATTTCTGCCCTCAGAGACTCTATGTTGCCATTAATTGATTTCTCCATTCTAGCCATTGTCTTCACAATAGCTAGCCTGAATTCCGTCTCCAACATCTTGGTTATATCTGCCTCCATTTGTAAATCTGCAGCATGAGTCATGATCTCTGAGTCTTTTCTATTTTGGGGGTTCTTCCTTCTAGTCACTGTGTTGATGGGTGTTTGAGGGAATGCATAGTCCAAATTATTGACCAGAACCCAAGCAAGATGCACCGTTTTCCTTGGGACCTTAGGGTTGCTGGCCTCTTGTTTTCCCAGCCTGTCTTTTGGCGGAGGGGCCTGCCATGCTGTTTGTTACTCAGGCAACCCTGTTTGGGCGGAGTTGCCCTGCCCCTCTGTGGCGGGGAATGGGCTCCGCGGGAATCAGTTTTGGGGGCTTTTGTTCTCTAGCAGCTTTCCCTGGCAGTTTTCTGCATCTCTTCTGCGAGTCAGCACAGAAGAGACCTCAGAGCAGAGAGACTGCAGTCTGTTCTTCAGTGAGCTCTCCAGGCCACACCATCTCCATTTCTGTCCGCACTGCTTTAAACTGCAGCGGCTGGGTTGTGCGCCCCTCCGCACAGGTCGGAGCACGTCTCTGCCCTTTGTGCTTCTAAAACCACCAGCTGCTCCCAGTTGGCACACATGACCCTACTGCTCTGGGTTTCTGCCCCGGGGGCTGCCCTAAAGTCCTTTCCCCTTTGCTCCCGGTCTGCGAGTCTGTGCCCGGTCCCTAGCCTGTGAGGCTGTCGCTCACCAGCGGTGTAGGATACCCATGGCCAGGCACCCTCCTGCTGCCATTTATCCTCTGATATCTGCCCGTGGAATCATGGCTCCCTGCTTCGTACCTCAAAACCAACCGCTTGCGATATCTGTTTGTAGAGATCCAGATCTTCTTATATCTCAGGCTGATTTCATGGGTGCTCAGAGTGGTCTGATAGATATCCAGCTCAATTCCCGGGACCAGTTGAAATAGGGTCCCCTACTCCTCCGCCATCTTTCCTTCTCTCTACATCATTAGTTTTTGATGTAGTGTTCCATGATTCATTGTTTGCATAAATAATACACTTCTAAATAACCAATAGGACAAAGAAGGAATCAAAGGGAAATTAGAAATATTTGAAATAAAAATAACAACACAATATATCAAAATTTGTGGGAGATTTATGAAACCAAATGCCCATTTTAGACAAGAAGAAAAGTCTCATTACTGACCTCAGCTTCCACCTTAAGAAGCTAAAAAAAGAACAGATGAAAACACAATAAACAGAAGAAATATATAATATAGATCAGAGGGCAAATTGATGAAACAGAAAATATAAAAACAACAGAAAAATTATGTGAGTGGTAACTGGTTCTTTGAGGAAATAAAAAAGTTGATAAATCTCTAGCTAGACAGATGGGGGGGAAGAAGCATCAAAGAGAAGTTAAATTTACTAGATTCTTCAGATATTAAAAGGAAAATATTGGAGTATTTTGAACAACTTCGTGCTAATAAATTAAACAACTTAGATGAGAGGGACACATTCCTCAAAAGACATAAACTACCACATATACTCAACAGGAAATAGATAACTTAAATAGTCTTTTATTTATTAAGGAAGTTAAATTTGTAGTTAAAACCTTCCAAATTATCAGTCATCAAGTACATTTGATACATAAAACTCAAAATATTGAGTGGAATTCAAATGATATAAACCAGAGGCAAAAATATGCAAATATCTTTAGTAGCTAGGTCAATAATATAAGTGAATGATGTAGATTAGTTATGGGAAAAAGTAACTGCCAAAAATACAATCAAACTTTATTTTTACTGAACCATGGTATGCATAGAAATGTAACACAAATGTATGATAGCAAATATTTTGAAAATTTAAAGTAAATATATACTTATTAATTATTATTTATGTTTTTATGGTTTTTCTCTAAAATCAGAAACCTGATTCTTATTCTTCTGCCCTTAGACATTAATATATTTTTGGATTTTTTTATGACATTGTGGACAACTTCAAATGTTTTATTCTAGCATTGGCATTTAATTCTATGCCAGTTCATAATGGAAAACAATTATTGACAGAAATTTGTACTTCCAAATATGGACAGAGTTCTTCCACACATGCTCTTCCTTTCTCTCTCTTTACACGGTCACTCCTCATTGTTCAGTTCTCAGAATTAAAATTTTCTCTTCAGAGATGCCCTTCTCGCCATTATTATTTCTCACTCTATTTTCTTGATTGTATTTTTTTTTTTTTACTAGTGCTGATACTTTATTAACCTGATGCTCATCTTTTCTACACATTTATAGTTCCATGGGGACAGGACCTACCTTGTTTTACCTCTCTATCCCTCAGTGTACACGAGTGTCTAAATTAGCGCCTACACTACACTAGGAGCTCAACAAAGAACTGAAGAAAGAATGAATGAAATCCACTAAGCTCTGGTTAGAGGGCAGGACTGACAGCTCACATGTACTCTTACCTTGGTCAGTGATGACTTGAGACCCAGTTAAACTTCTATTCCAAATGGAGAAAGATAACAGAAAGATTTTTTAAAAAATAATTTTTGGAGGGCAGTTTAGGAATTTAAGTTGGACACATACCTTGATCAAACTCTTGACTTTTTAGAAATATATTCTACGGAGACTCACCATGTACACTTTTTAAAGTAGCAATTCTTTTCCTAGGCATTTAGCCTCGAGAAGTCAGGTAAGTACTTACACCCGTGTGGAGATGCATTCTCATTGCAATATTATTTGTAAAAGTGAAAAACAGAACTTGGAAATGAGCTAAATGTACTTTCAAATTATTTGAATAAATTCTAATGTAGTCATCAGTGAGATGCTATGCAGGCATTAAAATTATAATATGTAACTGTATTTAGTTATAGTTAAAAAATAAGGAAAATAAATCACCAATATATTAAGTGGAAAAAGTTTAAATAATATGTGTAAAATAATCACTCCCTTTTTTTGGTAAAAGAGAAAAAAAGAAAGAGACAACTGATGTATGTACATATGGAAAGTTGCTCATAGTAATTATCTATGACCAGTGGAATATCCAAATTCTTTTTTATATTTGTTTATTGTTATAAGGAGCATGCATTAACTTTATAACAATTCTAAAAAGCAATAAAGATACTTCCGTTTGGGAACAATACTTCTTAAGAAGACTCTTCCACTTCTTGTAGAAATATATTTAATGTCCCATGTCTTTCAGTCAGAAATTTCTTTCAATTAAGGGGTGTTCCATGGATGAAAAAGGAAAAATATTTTTTTAAAAGGTGGCTTTTATTTTTCTTTCAACATGTTCTAAAGTATACTTATGCTTAAAACATTTTTTTTCGTTTTATTTTACAGAGTATTAAGTATGGTTGGTGAAGTTGTGACCTTGTAATTAGGTTCAATTTGCAAATTTGATTTTATTTTACATTTTACTACTTAGGCATTTGGTAAGCAAATTCAAATAACTAATTTTCATGGCATTACATTTGGTTTGCAAGAACATAAGCTCTGGATAAGAGGTAAGCCACCATCCCACTAACAAATAATTTAGATCGTCACTCTCCCAGATCTTGTGTCGTCTAGGGATTTTTTTTCTTACCATCTCCAATAAGAGTGGGATTATTGAGCTAGATCATAGCCCAGCTAATTTATAGTTTCTCTCTTTGCATGAATCAATCCAAACAGTCTGATGGGATCATCATGAACATTTTCTTCTATTTCCTGGCTTTCAAGCGGGAAACTGTTTACCGAAGTGGTCTTAGAAAGGCTGGCATCCACAGCATGTAACTGCTTATCTTCATCCTTGTCTAACAAATAACTATTCTCTTCCCTGGGCTTCCTGCGCTTCCCCTCACAGTTGTGATGCAGTGAGGCATAGAACATCTGTGGTTCCTCAGTTGCCTAAAAAGAAAGGCATATTAACTTTTTGTTGTTATCTCATTCTTTAACTTTGATGACATCTGGGAATTTCTAAGATCTATGAAAAACAAGCAGCTTGTTTTCTGGGCTTTGGCTACCTGTTTTGCCAAACTGGCCAGGTAGGATGACAACAAAAAACAATAGTCAACTCAAGACTTTTGAGTAGAAAAATGCTTAGATGAAATTTGTGTGTGTGTATTTTTATTTCTTTTTGTACACAAAATATACATGAACATTTTAGATGGCCTCTCACGTGCCTCTCCCCCTGCCTCCACCTTAGGTAGCTCTTGCCCTGTGTTGCTTTCACCAAGTGACAACACTCCAGTTTGTTAAAGTGGGAACAAGCATGATAGGAAGGAATGTAATGAATCTCAAAATCTATTTTGCATATGTTTAATAACTGGTCATTTGATGGTACCCACAAAAATCCCCACTTTTTCTACATTTTTGAAGTCCAGAAGTATAAAGTATAAAGATTCAGAAGTATAAAGATGACAGTATCCATTTTTGTGACTGGCATCTGGCAAGAATTATAGTTTTCCATCTTCCCCCTTTATTTCCTTCTTGCTTGCCTGTCCCGAGGTTCCCTTTGGGCTCATTTCAGACTGGGCTTGGAGATCTTTATTTCTGTCCTTATAACTAAAAGCATTTCAAATAATGTATGTTTGGTCAACAGTTGGTCAACTTTATCAAGCGCTGCAGAATTCAAAGAATGTGAGTCCTGAGAAAGGATCACAGATTGTACATGATGAGTCACTTGTGACTTCCAGAGAGTGGTTTCAGTTGAGTGTATGGGTGGAAAAAATATAGCCAGGAGTAAAAGATTGTGTATCAATGGAAACAGTAGAGGAAAGTAAGAATCAGTTTAAGAATTAAAGAGAAACACAGGCAGAAGGCAAATTTTGTTTTGTTTATTTTTTTGTTTTTAAAAATTGGGGTGATTTTTGCATATTGGTAGGTAAATTGTAATGATTCTTTAAAGAAAAAATCAAAAATGGAGACAAATTAAATAATTGAAGATGCAAGATCTTGAAAGCAATGGAGGAAATGATCAAGAGCATAAATTGGTATTGGTTTAGGAAAGGAGAGTGGATACTTCTGACATAGGAGGGAAAGGCAAGGTCAGTGGGAGACTGGGACATGAAGAGGAGAGGAACAAGCTCACACTTGTATTCCTCACTTTGTCTTATGATATAGGAACTCTGTGGACTCATTTTATTATTAGGTTTCTTCTTAGTTAATGGTAGACATAGATATTGAAATTACAACTTCTGAACTGTGCACATCATTTTTAAAGGGCAAGGACCTTATTTCTTTTCCCAACAGTCACTTTATCCATAAAGCTTTCTGCATAATATTGCAGAGTGCTCTTGTAATTGACCAAAGTAAGTATTGTAGTAGCAAACCGGGTAGTGGTTTTGATGATCATGATCATTCTAATAAAACAGAATTGAGCAAATATAAAGAAATCATGTTTAATTTGTGAGAAAGGTATAATAGAATAAATACTAATCTCCTTATAAGTATCTTTAAATACATAATTTATAAAATAGCAGGCTTTTAAAGACATTTTAAGCTTTGCACAATTTCCACTTGAGTAAAAACCAGATGCACCACAATTCATATGTACTAAATAGCAACTTTTATTATGAATTTTCAGCTCTTTTACAATTAAGGTGCTGTGACTCTCCATTTCAGATGGTGTGGTTATATTTGAGCCTTCTCTAAGAGGTTTTTATTATATTGGATTTAGCAGGTATAGAACATGCAGGTTTTCATACCTTTTATCTAAAAATTTTTTTACCATTAATCACACATCAGATGACAGATTTGTGCAACAGAAAGTGACTTCCTAATCTGTTTAAACCTTACCACATCTTGGTTTCTTAAAAACTTCAAGAATTCTGATTTCTTGGTGGATTCATATAGAGGAAAAGAGAAAAATTCTATCTTAATGAGAAGTTTTCAAGATGTGACCCATCTTAGGGAGGAGAATATTTTCTGTTAGGCAGGACTAAGTTTAGATTCTCTTTCTACCTAGTACCTGAGTGCTTTAGGGCAAGTTTTTCAACTTTCTCAAGCTTCTGTCAAATGGGAGAAATAATGCTGTTTCCCTCATAAAACTCTAAGACGATAATACATATAAAGAACATATGACAAGGCCTGACACATAAGGACCACCCAGAAAATGCTGACTGGCCCTCTCACTATTTCTAGGGAGTAGCAAGAGAACACATAACTGAAGGGACAAGATCTAGGATGGAAAGGAAGAACTCTTTTAACTGAAATTTATAACATTTCAACAGCATGTAGACGAAGAACTGTGAATGGTTTCTGATGAAGTCAGTGCTATGTCTGAGGAGGTGGAACCGATTATGGTAGGAAAAGGAAAAATTATCTATTTCTTCTTGGGTTTTCATATGTTTCTGCTTACATTTTTGTCCTACCTAACACTGCACAAGCCATGTGAAAATCTCTTGCCATTAGCCCACAGCCATTGAACTTGTGTTAAAATTTACACTCATTTGCCTTATAAAATAGAAGTACGGTCTTTTATATCCAGCTAATTTATCTTTTAACTAAAGCACTGTCTCTCTCTCTCTCTCTTTCTCCTTCCCTCTCCCCTTCTCCCCCTACCCCCATAAATTCCTGACATCTAGGTCTTATGAGCATTATATGTGTCAACTTTTATGTTTATCTTTGTGATGTACATGATTTTTTTCAGTCTGAAAGAAAAAGCTTAATTGATTAAGAAGAGAATCCACTTTTTCCTTCAACTTATTGACTTTGTAATGGTACGCAATTTTGACTTTTCGAGTGTGGCTCTGAGTGCCATTTATTTGCCTTTGAGTTTCACTTTAGAGCTCAGGTCCCAGAACTTGACACTGATTTGGCCTGTAAAATATCAGACTGCTTCAGATGTGAATCAGAATGTGCTGCTCTTATGTTCTTAAAACATGCAGCCATGCTGGGATCTAGGCTGAGCTTGACCCTTAATACAGACAACAAAACTCACCTGTGCAGGTGGGGTGGCTTCTTGCAGTTCATTTGTATATCTCTCTGGTCGAGCTTTCATTTGTTCATAGCAATTTTCATCCACTGGTTCTTGAGAGTTGAAAAGATCATGATTTACAATGGAAAAATGAAAAAATGCTGGCACAAATAAAAATACATGACCCAAACCACACTTAGCTGTATATGTGAAACCCCCAAGAATCATTCAGCTTGTCTTTTTTTGTGGAGATGCAAAAAAGTAAGGAAGCACAAACCATTTTCTGCAGATCAGAATGTGAAGAAGTCTTTTACCCCATAGAGTTAATAATAAGACAAAAGAAGGTCACGTGGGATAAAGACTAGATCATATTAATTTATGCCATTGCAGGATATGATGGGCTCAACTTAAGCTTCCATTTGGACGTTACAGAGATCCCATGTGTTTGCTTCTATTTGGGTGTGATTGCAAATGGTGCACAGTGGCACAGTGCAGTGCACATGCGCCGATGATTGCAGTTTGGTCATTTTCCCCATGAGTAAGAAGTTTTACTCAGAGGCATTTAAACACCTCTATTTTTGAAAAAGAATGTTTAGGTCATGTTTTTTTGTCCCATAAATCAGTGACAGCACATCCAGGATGTTTGGGTGGTCTGGAGCTCTGTAATGCTGGTCCTAAGTATTTAGGGTTTGTGCAGTGTCCAATAGCCAGCAGACCTGTAGTCATTTCATCCTGTGGGACATGCTTATTAAACCATTCATCCCTTTCTTCCCCCAGATATGCCTGTTTGAAAGGGAGAAGAAAGAGAGAAAGTGACTTGTAGGATGGCCAGTTGCCTGGCAGAAATGTGGATTGCATTGATTTGATCCCATAGAAAAAAAGATATATTTACTACAATGCAAGTTATCTTATAATTGATCATTCAACCCTTTCTGAAAAGCAACACAGAGGAAT